CCCCAGACCCTGAGGCTGTGCGAAGGTGATGGATTATCTCGGCAAAGGAGAAGTGCTCACTATCACAGATCTTTTCAGATTTGTGAGCAATATTTGAGAGAAATGGTTATTTTGTGTATATATGTTTAGATCTTTGAGTTCATCTCATGAAAAATGGGAGCAAAAACAAAAGTGTTGCGTTTATATTTTTGTTCAGTGTATTATTGAATGACATAAGTATTTTTAAATGACTGAACATGGACGTATATATGTATTTTGTCCCTTGTAGCCAGCAACCCGCGCGTTTCAGTAACCGCTGCCTGCAGACGATTGGCAGATGTTGGCCGCACCTCCGAGCTCTCGGTGTGGGCGGGGCTGGATGTGGCATTCAGGGGCTGGCCTCGCTAGGTAAATATGATTTGACTTGTTCTCAACTGTGTTCTTATAATCATGAATCACATTGTCATTGTAATTGAAAGCATGTGCCAATCGAACATAATTGTCATGGAATAAAGTAAAGAATATCCAAAAAAAAGTCTTAATCGGGTGGAGCACCGGCCTCCAATTGTAGGGAAAAAATACATCAAAAAAAATGTCTGAAGTGGTTGTTCCTCTGCTGTAGGTAAACCAAACAGTTAACTTTCAAGCGTCAGTCATGGATATAAAATAACACAGAAAAAATGTAAGGGATGCCATTACTCACTTAGTGTTAGTTTAGTGTTTATTTATTTTAAATGTACAAAGGTCATTCTGTTCTTACCTATGAACAAATCCAGAATTATTTTATTTATGAATATTAGAATCTCCATTAAAACTGCATAAGAACAGTTTGGGATAAAGCTCAATGTGTCTTTCAAGCAGATTTGGTTTAGACCTTAAACAAGCCCCTATGCATAACCTCGGATGCTTTCTGCTACCTCCCCTGTTTTCCGCATCACTACATTCCCCCTCTCCCCCCCACCTCCACCAGCGAGGAACTGCATGCGCCTTCAGGTGCTGGAGTTGGATCATGTGAGTGAGATCAACCAGGAGGTGGCAGCAGAGGTCTGCAGAGAGGGCCTGAAGGGTCTGGAGATGCTGGTGCTCTCTTCCACCCCCGTCACTCCCAAAGCCCTGCTCCACTTCAACAGTGAGTTTGAATTCTGCTGTATTCCTTTACTGTGTACAATCCAGATGTAAACAACATTGAACAGATAACTGTGATATCGACACCCTGCTAATGAATGCTCTTTAAATCCTCCTTCTACTCCTGCAGGTGTTTGCCGTAACCTGAAGTCCATCGTGGTTCAGATTGGAATTGAAGACTACTTTGAAGACCCCAACAGCCCTGAAGCTAGGAAACTGTTTGATGAGATGGTTAACAAGCTGCAGGTAACAGCCATATCCCACACTACTAACTACAATATTATTTTTGAAATATTTTGAAATTTATATTTTGAAATGTATCATTCTGCAATACGAGTACATTTATTAAGAGACAATTCTAATGCACCACTTTTAAAAATGTGTACTTTTGTTGTATTTTTTGGGGAAAAGTCCTTAAAGGTGGGGTAGGTAAGTTTCAGAAACCGGCTCGAGTGCACTAAAATTTGAAAGTACACAGCCAAAAATAATCCGCCCCTTCCTTCAGACTTCCTTACAGGCCTCCTCTGCGAGAGCAGGCTGCAGTAACGTTACATATCAGGCAAAGCTAAACACATCTAGGTTAGCAATACTACACAGCCAAAGCAACTCCGATATTGACTCTGGTTTGACTTCTCCTAGTTTCCACTTTATTTTTGTTCTTAATTTGCTCCGTTACATTTTTTCTTTTGCGACCAGTAGACGATGTTGAACCTAACTCTGCCATGGTGAAAGTGGCTGCCTGTTGCTGGCGAGTCATTGAAGTACTGCTGCAATGCACGCCCAATGACGGCACGCCCAATGAGGGCACGAGATACATTTGTGCGTGCACGAGATGGAAGGCTGACAGACAGGGCGGCAATCGGCGGCAATCCAATTGCCGGGCCGGCTAAACGGATTGGTTGTAGTTTTTACAGTATTACGGCTTCCACAGATGACATTTTTTTATGGATTTTTTGTCAAAGCACTTAAGATATTCATTGCTATCGGGATGTTAAGAGCATTCCATGGAATATAACAAAAAGTGTATCTCGAGCCGGTTTCTGAAACTTACC